TGTCCATAACCAAAGTTGTCACAATGGGCAAAAGAAGCTCAATTCATCAGAACATATTGAGGGTCCTGATATAGACATCATGTTACCAAGAATTATCTTTCCAAGGAACAAGAGGCCAGAGTTTCCATCTCCCACTGATATAAGGTTGTCCTAGAAGGTAAGTCACCTGTATTTTCAGGTTCCCTGGTATCAGAGAAGGATTTGGGGCAGAAGCTGAAAAATCTGGCTCTCACTTGAAGTAGGAAGTGCAAAGTCAGTCTGAACTTGTACAGGAGTATACAGTTTGGCTTCAGCTGAAACCAGATGTAGGCTTAAGGAATGCATTTCAGTGTTCCAGAAGTGTCTAATAAAAGTACCCAATGTGGCAGATAGTTAATGAACCACACTTCTTGTGCAATCCCCCTTCCGCAGTCTCTGGGCTGGGCTTATGATGACTCTAATAGAATAAAACAGAACTGATACTACGCCTGTTTTGGGTCTAACCCTTAAATGACCCAGCAGCTTCTGCTCCCTACTTAAAATGCTTGCTTTTGGAACCCAGTCACAGTAACTTCAAGCTCAGTGTAAGGACCATGTGGAAAGAACTGAAATCTGCCTGAAAAGTCTGGCTGAGCTCCTGGTCAAGACTTCAGATGACTAATGCTGTCCCAGTGACCCTGGACGATACCATGTTGGGAAGAATTACCCAGGGAAGCCATGGAATTATAAGCCATAAAACAAATTATTTTATTTCCTAACATTTTGGGTTACTTATTTTAGTCACAGCAATCAATTAAGATACCAGTCAAGAAACCTTAAAACAAATAGGGTTGTCAAAGTTGCTAAGAAGGGTAGCTTTGTTTTCCAGATATATTCATAGGAGAACTGAATTTTCCTAGTTTTGCCTATTCTTCACCAAGCCATGTGGCAACACTTATCATATCTCTGACCATTAGTTATGGCTCTGAAGGAGCCATAGGATTTCAAGTAATTTTAGTGATTCTGAGAGGAAATGTTTTTTGATATTTTTTGCCAAATTACATTGCTGAGTATTACTGTGTGACAAATTTTCATGTTTATTCTAACCTTTCTTCCCATTGTGATTGCTTACAGGGTTACCAGACTCATTTGATGTTCACTCAACAAAATAGTCATTTAAAATTCAATAAACATATCTGCTGTATGGCAAGCCCTGTTCTAGGCACTGCTATTCTAATAATGGACAAAATGGACAAAAATCCCTGTTCTCTTGGAGATGGAAGATTGACAAAGAGCAGAAGAAATCACAGAATAGAAATACATGATATCTAGAGAGTGTTAAGTGTTAAGGAGAAAAGCTAAATCAGGAAAGGAGTATAGAGAAAATGTTTAAAAATATGTGTTAAATTTTAGATTGAGTGATCAAAAGGCAGCATCACTGAGAAGATGCCATTTGAGAAATGGATTGATAAGACAGATTTGGGATATAACTGAAAACAGAGTCAGACAATGGAATTTGCTGACACTTTAGATGTGAGATGTTTTTAATACAATAGAGGGGGTAGCAAGCATCACTCCAAAGTTTGGGGCTCAGCAAATGAAGAATTACATTTCCATTAACTGAAATGAAGAAGTTTGGAGTTTATATATAGGGTTCAGTGTTAGACACATTAATTTTGAGATAGAACTAAAGAGGTTTAGGAAGTTTAGGCAACAGGCCTGTAATTCAGGATAGAGGTTTAAGCCAGAGATATAAATATGGGAATCATCAGCATATGGTATTTAAAGCCATGACAAAGGATAAAATTATGAAGAGACTGAATACAGATAGAAAAGGAAGAGTTCTCAGGACTAACTACAGGGCATTCCAAGATACAGAGGTTGGGAGAGGGAGCATGTAGAGGGAAAGCAAGAGATTGAGAAGGAACAAAGCAGAAAGCGAGCCAGCAAGGCGTGGGAGCTAGAAAACCAAGAAAATGCTTTAAGGAGGAAAACGTAACTGACCATATCAAATGCTGCTAATAGTTCAGGGAAGATGAGGCATGAGATTTGGTTATTGAATTTAACAATACAAATTGCCCTGGTGAAAAGCAGAGTTTTTGTGGAGCGGTGATGCTGAAAGCCTAATGGATTGAGTTCAAGAGTAAATGGAAGCAGAGAAAGTCAGCTGGTGAATATAGAGGATTCTAAAAAGTTTTGTTTTATACAAAAGAAGCAAAATGAAGCTGGCACAGCTAAAAAAAAAAATAATAATAATGGGAGAAATAACAGCAGTTGGTATGGTGATAGGAATGATCCAAAAGATTGGGGATAGTTATGATCCAAGAGAATGGGTGAGAATTACTGGAATCATGCCATTAGTGGTGAAAAGGGATGGAATGTAGTATATCAGTGAGAGGTTGGCCTTAGCTAAGAGTACAGATGGTTCAAGTGCATGCTTAGTAATGGAGAAAGAAGGTAGAGTGAATGGAAACAGGAGCATGAAGTGAGTAGATGAAGTGTGAGAGTCCATGAAAGTTCTATGAAGGTTTCTATTCTGCCAGTGAAATAGGAACCAAGATCATTAGCCAAGAGTGATTATGGTAAGAAGGTAAAGGCCTTGGAGGTTTGAAGTTCAGAAAGCATGAAGTAATCAACAAGGAGAGTATGGACTGGAGATACACAGTATCACTGTAGGGCAATATCACCTACTTTGGAACTGTGGCAGTGACAGCAAGTGAGAACAGTCAGCTTGGTTGTGAGCTTCATTCCCTTCAGCTGTGTCGGTGAAGGAACAGCGCAGTTGGATTTAGCCAGGCTGTGTTTGGCTAATCACAGCATCATCTTCCCCCACCCCCACCCCCAGACCCCCTCGCCTCCTCATGGAAATATTAGCTATTTTCTCCCTGACAGATAACAATACTGTTCAGAAAGCTTAGAGATTCTGACTCAGCTTTCAATACTTCTTCCAATGATGTCTTGCAAAAGTTCTGTGTTTTGTCATTTACTTTTTCTCTCCCCATCCCACAATTCATATGTTTTTCTATTTTCAATGTTATGACATACAGTTGTATTCTGACTAATTTTCCAAAAGGGGCAAAGACAACTGTGCAAGGGGAGATATAACTGGACTCTTAACAATACCTCAGTCACGTTAAACACCATTTATGCAGTACCTTTTATGTCCTAGGTATTTAATACACATTTCTAATCCTCTCAACAAGTTTCCCCATTTTTAAGGAATAGAAACTTAGGAAGTAAAATGAGTCATCACGCAGCTAATAAATGCCAAAGCTGAGACCCAAACCCTGATCTGCATGTTCCACGGTTCTGACTCTGGCCACTCCGCCCTCTAACCCTTATTAGCCAAGGCAAAACCAAGTTTGTGTTGTCCTAGCTCCAACTGTACATATTCGAATGCCATTGAGTTCACTTGCCCAGATATCTTTAATCCAAGGTGCTGTTTCCAGACTTTCTTTCTCCCAAACACCAGATGTCATCTGCTCTTGAACTTGAGACAAAAATTAGAGTTTTCAAGTTCCAAAATGCTGAATTTTACCTGTGTTCTCTTGTCCAATTTTAAACGTCTAGATTCACTTACCTATACTTACAATACCTTGGTACTGTTGGCATTTCGGGCCAGGTAATGTTTTCTTGTGGCGGCCTATCCTGTTCATACTAGGCTGTTTAGCAGCATCCCTGACCTTTACATCCTTGATGCCAGCAGCACCCTCCCCCCGACTGTGACAACCAAAAATGTCTCCAGATGGGGCATCTAGCTGGCTCAGTTGGTAGAGGGTGTGATTCTTGACCTTGGGGTTGTGAGTTCAAGCTGCACACTGGGTATAGAGATTACTTAAAAATAAAATGTTTGTTTGTTTTTTTAAATGTCTCCAGACGTTGCCAAATGTGCCATGGGAGGCAAAATCATCCTTGGTTGTGAACCACTGGAGTAGAAGTGAAGATTACATAGGAATTAGCCACTGCATGGTTCAGTCGGGTAAGTGTCTGCTTTTGGCGCAGGTCATGACCCCAGGGTCTTGGGATACAGTCCTACATGGGGCTCCTTGCTCAGCAGGGAGCTGCTTCTCACTCTGCCTGCTGCTCTCCCTGTTTGTGCCCTTTCTTTCTGACAAATAAATAAAATCTTTAACAACAACAAAAAAAAGAATTAGGTTCATTTTTTAATCTTATTTCAAATTTTACATTGTCACTTTATCCATAACAGTAAAAGATGTTATTTTTGTACTTTTTGTTTTAGATTATGTTTTTTAGAAGACAAGCTCCTCCTCAGACTTTTACATTCTCTGTAACTTTCCAAGAACTTGCTTGTCTCAACATCATCACAGGCAGAATTAATTTTAATAGTCCCAAGTTCCCATTACACTTGGAAATAAAAAATCTGTAATAACAGTGTTTACCACACTAGTGCTTTAAAAAACAAGAAGACCTCACACCTATCTCCAACTATCATCTCTTTGGTGACATAGGTCATATAACATTAATTTTTGTGTCTCCAGCATTTACAAAAATCCCAACATGTAAGTATTTGCTTAACTTGTACATTTAAACTGTATTGCAAGGAATTCCATGTGTTGACTTTTAAAATTATCTATACCTACAGAATGCCCCTTTATAGTGTCTTCTGACCCACATGCATATTACAGTCCTGCCATCTAGTGGCCAATTACCCAAATTGTAATTGCAATACCTAGTATGAAATAAACCAAATATCTCAAATATGAACATTTAAATTCCATTCAATATCATAAGATAAAGAAACCTCTACACCACTTTTACACATATACATTTTCCAACTAATGAAACATTCCAATTTTTTTAACATTTTGCCTATAAGTGAGTGAAATTAATTCACATGTAAAAGGTTTTAGCTCCAATATATAGCATTATTTGCAAATAAGGAATATATAATGTCCACATTACACCCCCCCCTTTGATTTTATCCAATGTCCTTTTCCAACAAAGCTCAAACTTTGCTGGTTTTTTTCTCTTAGAGATCTATCTCTTTGAAGAGAGTCTTAGCCATTCAACAAAACACCTACCTGGACACCAAACTCAGCTAAAATCCAGACATCAGGACAAATTCCTCAGCTGATAAGATCCGTCATCTGATTGGACCCAAAGCTGATTCATAATCTGGGGTGAAATAAAGTTTTTAACAAGTAGGCTATTAGTGTGGTAACAGGGTTAACTGAACTAATCGATCAATTCAACTAAGTAGGTTAGTAGGAAATTAGTCGAAATATTAAACACTTGTGAAGCATTTTCATTCTTGATTGAATGAACCTCCTCACTAACTCATTCCCTTTACCAATTATGACTGTATACTTTCAAGTATCTCATTCATGCATTATTCTACTGTTATAATAATAGTATAGTTAACTAATGATATAAACTGAATGGGGAAGGGAATAAGGATATAGAGGATAAGGGTTCGGGCGCCTGGGTGGCTCAGTGGGTTAAAGCCTCTGCCTTTGGCTCAGGTCATGATCTCAGGGTCCCGGGATCGAGCCCCACATCAAGCCCCACATCAGGCTCTCTGCTCAGCAGGGAGCCTGCTTCCCCACCCCACCCCCCTCTCTGCCTGCCTCTCTGCCTGCTTGTGATCTCTCCCTGTCAAATAAATAGATAGACTCTTAAAAAAAAAAAAAAAAAAGAGGATAAGGTTGGCAAATCAGTTTCAACTTTACTACTTAGCATTCGAGATATCATAAATCTATTACTATTTCATATTTGTGAGCTAACAAAGTATATTTGCTTTAGCAAGAAGGCATTACCAAATATCTCTAAAATATGCTGGATTGTTCTGTGACATATCTGTTTTGTAGAAATCATTAACATGCTCTAAAGCCAAATGAGGCATATGTATAAACTCTCAGATATCTTTCTTTCTAATATTAACTCTTGATACATCACTGATTTGCAAGATATTTATTTCTAATACTGCAAACTCATGTGTGGCATGACCCTATTTCTTTACTCTCAGATATTTAAAATGTCTGAAGTTCAAGAGATTATTTAGAACAATTCCTCACAGCGTAGATGGAAAAGCCAAGGTTTTTAGAGGTTTAGAGCCTCACCCAAGTTGACTGAGCTCATTGTAGCAGATGAATCTAGAACTTTCAAAGTTACTGAAGGAATAGCCACTAGTCCCGAGGCCAACGCATCACCAAGAGGATTACAAGGTGAGTCTCTTGGTACTGATGCCATCATGCTTCAGTAATTTGCAGGAATCCCAGCCCAAGTCATTCTTTTTCTCACAGACTCTTAATTCATAAGCTGTATATCCTCTCCACTTCCCTCTCTTCCCAAACAAACCCTATGAGTGTCTCCCGTGACCCCAGTATGAATAAGCGATTTCTTGTTCTTCAGACATTTATTCCCTTCACCTCCTAAACTTACTTGAAACCTGCCTGGGCCCTGAACAAACATTAGGGCCAGGAGTTGATCATATTGAGTTGACTGAGGTAGGTGAACTCCTTGCTCCCCCTTTCTGCTTCCAAATTATCTCACCCCACCCTCCTGCAAAAATCACTGTTCTTTCAATGTTAATGTCATTTGGATAGATCACTATTTCCCACACCTTCTTACATGCTCTTCCCAACCTCCTCATCCTACCTCTGCTTTCACTAGCCTTCTGTTCCTGGCACTATTCCATTTGGGTTTCCTTTCTTTATCCTGGGTGACTTCAATAACTAAGTGGACAACCCATCAAAAAGCCCCAGTTTCTCAGTTTCTTGATTTCTATATTCCATTGACACTTTTTCTTTTCCACTTCAGTCATTTATCTTATGGTCACACCCCTGACCATTACACCTCTTAAAAAATGCAAACCTTTTAAAAAACATCCTATTGAAACATTTAACTATGGCAGCTTCCCATGTATTCCATGGGCACAAGTACTTCCATACAACCACACAGTTCTTCAATGTTGTAGGGACATCTGATCCTCTCATCCTCCCACTTTCTCATTATCCAGCAGTCAGTCCCCTCCTGTCATCATTTCTCATCCTGTTTGGCACAGATTCCGTTATCATCAACAGGTTGCCCCTTTGCAATTACTTTCAACTCTCAGTTCCTTCTCTCCCTCAACTGAGCTCACCCTACAAAAACCCCAATCCATGTATGAACTCCTCTGACTTCAGACTTTCTCCTTGTTCATACAGGAGTGTTACCGATCACAGATTAGGTAATCTCATAACTAGTTTCACTTTAAAGTCATAATCTCAGGCCACAGTTTGAATCTTGGTATGACCCAGAAATCTTGCTACAGTTCTCTAATAATTTTACATTTCTGCTCCCCAGAATGATATTGAGCAGGATCCTCTTTCTTTGATCTTCTACTCCCTCTTCTACCTTTGACTCTCAGCAGGTATCCTTGCCCATCATTTACTGAGACTATGGAACTATCAGATGGAAGCATTTTCATCCTCTCATAACCAAATCCCCAAGCCCACCTACCACCAAACCATCTTTTCCATCGCCATCAAATCAGGAGATATCAAGGAACGTATGAGACTACAGATGGAAATTTCAGAGCTTGAGGCAACTGACCCTAAGTGGTAAGTTAGTAACGTCAGATTTAGAAGGATGGTGAACATCATGTTCTGTAGAAAATGGAAAGGCATTTTCTGTAGAAAATCGGAAGATACATGATCCAAGTTATGTTGTAGGACAGGGGTCAGCAAACTATAGCCCTGGGCCAAATCTAGCTTACTATTTTTATAAGCAAAGTGTTACTGGAACACAGCCATACCTAGTCATTTATGTATTCTTGTCTAATGACTAGCATATTAAAACAGCAGGGTTGAATAGCTGCCACAGAGACCACATAATCCACAAAGCCTAAAATATTTACTATCCCTTTCTAGACAATTTATCTGCTCTTTTTTAGAAAGATAACTATGGCAGCATGATGAAGGATAAACAGTAATGGGGGAAAACTAGGTGCATGGCAAATATTTAGGAAGGAAATTGTGTTAGTTCAGTAAGAATAATAAAGGCTTGGTCTAACCCAATGGAAGTGGACATAGAAAAAAAAACAGACATTGTGTGTATAGAATCAGGATTAGATAAACAATTAGGAGAAAAAAAAGAAGACAGAAATAGGTTATAAAAAGTGATCCCAAGTTTTCTACTTTCGTGACTGGGACATTAGTAGTGTTTGCAACGGTAGTAATAAGGGGTGAGAGGAAATGAAAGTTTCCACGAGTAATAACAATGGGCAATTTAAACAAGCTCAATACCTACAAAAAATACATACATGGAGATTGCTGAAATTATCCCCAACTTGATCTCTAAGGCAAATGGAGTTGTGGAGGTCACTGGTCTATAACTGGTAGCTGGTGGGATGGGAATAAGATGAAATCACTTTAAAAAATATAAAATAATAACAACAAAGTCTCTTAAAAGTTTGAATTCAGGAGTTGAAAACAGACCCACACAAAAATCTGCACACAGATGTTTACAGCAGCTTTATTCATAACTGCCAAAAACCGGAAGCAATATGCCCTTCAGTAGGTGAATGGATAAACAAAGTGTGGTACACCCAGAAAATGGAATACTATTCAGCACTAAATCAGAATGAGCTATTAAACCAACAAAGACATGGAGGAAACTTAAATGCATATTACTGAGTGAAAGAAGCCAGTCTAAAAAGGCTACATACGATATGATTCGAACTGTAACTTTCTGGCTAAGACAAAACTATGGAGGCAATAAAAAAGTCAGTGGTTGCCAGGGGTTTGTGGGGAGGAAGGAATGAATAGGCAGAACACAGAGGATTTTTAGGGCAGTGAATCTATTCTATATGATACTGTATGGTAGATACATGTCAGCATACATTTGCCCAAATTCGTGGTACTTACAACACCAAAAGTAACTGTTGTGTAAACTATGAAGTTTGGGTGATTGTGATGTGTCAATATAGGTTCATCAATTGTAACAAATGCCAACTCTGGTGGGGATATTGATAATGAGGGAGGTTATGCAAGTGTGGGGGTAGGCAGTATAGAGATGAGAAATCTCTGTACATTCCCCTCAATTTTGCTGTGAACATAAAACGGCTCTAAACAATCAAGTCTTAATTTAAAAAGTCTGTATTTATTTTTTTTTAAAAGTCTATATTTAAAGGGTAGTTAAAACTGTCATTTATAAACAAATGTTTACAGAGAAATTAAAGTCAATTAACTCAATCTAGATATATCAAAATAGGTAATTCTCAAATAATGTTCAGTAAAAGCAAGCTACAAAGGATGACATGATTCTGTATACGTGAAATTTTACAACATAAAATAACATACACTGTATGTGCATACACAAATACAGAAGAGCATATCAATGACAACGCAATTTCAAAATAGGAGAATAGACTGGACTGGAGGGAGAGAATAGAAGATGAGACTCATTTGCCTGGACTGGAGGGAGAGAATTGAAGATGAGACTCATTTGCCACACTATATTTATTTTTCAAAAAAGCTTGCAGTAAAATACACCAGAGAGAAAGGGGTATGCACTGTCAGGAGAAAAAATAAGAGGAGACAGTAGGTCTTGGGCATCAGAAAAGGAAGGAGGTATGCTTTCAAAAGAATGGCATAAAACAGGCCATTCAACTCTGCAGATTAGTCAAGTGAAATGAGGATTAAGAAGCTCTGTTATCAGTCAGAAACCTAACAGAGTTTCAGCAGAATAATGGAAGTGGGAGCCAGATGGTAGGGGGTGGAGGGGAGACTTGGCACCAAAGAAGTGGAGGCAGTGAGAGCAAATGGCTCATTCAAAAAAGCTGGCAATGAAGAAAAGAGAAAGATACACAACAGTTCGAATGAGAAATATTTAATGTGTCCGATGCTTCAATTTCAGGCAGGTGGAAACTCAAATAACTCAACATTTCTTGCAAAACATCGAGTCCTTATATTTTCAAAAATAAAAGACATAAATTAATAACTTTTTTCCTTAAGAGGATATCTGCAAACTATCTCCCATGTTAATATGACATAAAATAACATTAAGAACTTGGTTGAAATCACAATAACATGAACAGTAAAGATGAAAAAGTTAAGAGGGGCGCCTGGGTGGCTCAGTGGGTTAAGCCTCTGACTTTGGCTCAGGTCATGATCTCAGGGTCCT